ATATATATTAAATATATATAAAATGCTACCCTATTTAATGCATAGGGTAGCATTTTATATATATAAATAGATATAGATATAGATTAAATATTAATTAAATTTAATTGGAGTTGACAATAAATTTATAAATTTATAATCTATTATGAATTTTAGCTTATTATTATTTGATGTAAATTTTAGGGTCTTGATTGTTTCCTAGTCCCTTGACTTTAGGATTTTATCTCGTAGTTATTGGCTTGTCTTATTTGAGGTAAATAAAATTATAATTTTACCCCTAGTTTTAAAATATGATTTTAAAGTACAATTTTTTGCTAGTTTTAAGATGGTGGCGTGATTAAAACTCATTTTTTTAATTACCATGATTAAAATCTTGTTTTAATCGAAGTTGGATTTAATTTGGTTAAATAAGCCTATTTATGAAAATACTACTCACTACGTGAGATACTTATTCTCTTAAAATGAGCATCTGCGTGATATATACATGAGATTTTGATTAGTTTATGGACTTATTTGTCAATATTAAACAATTAGAGGACCTAACTAACAATTATTGCATAATTTGATTTAGTAATGTTTATTTGGATATTATTTGACTTCTAATAATATTTGAGATATTATTAGGCATTAAATTATTAGTTTTGGACTTGTATAATAAATTAACTCGGTTTTGAAGCTTGCATTTATGGGTCTCACTCATAAGTTTATGACGTTTATTTTGCTCCAGGGTTTGGGAAGTGACAGATTTTGTGGTATCATAGTCTATATATTGAATGAGCTACCTAGGACTAAAATAAACGTGACTAGAGTATAGGATGTGGTGGGATGAGTGTGGGGTATTACTTTGGATGTCTACTTTATTCTTGAACTTGATTAAACTCTTGTTCTTAATGCCTGATCCCTTTTGATTATCTGCACTTATAAGGGTTTGTTACCTAAATATGAATTAATTGGTGGAATTCTTGATACCTAGAACTGTTTGTTAGACTCTTGAAATTTAATCTTGAATCCTTTTCTTGAGATTGTTCTTGCCCTTATTCTTGAACATTGATATTCAAATATAAATCATGGTTGGTGGAACCCTTGTCATCCTGATATTCACTTAAAACTACTTCTTGCATTATGCTTCAAATCAATTAGAGCTAATGTGCTATCCTTGAAAGTCGATTGATACTTGTTTCTAGAATTTATTTTTGAACTTGGTCATCTTGTTCTTTTCATGCAATTTGTTCTTGAATCTATTCTTGCTCAAATTTTGAATCCTGCAATGGCTCTTGTTTCTTGATATCCATAAGTAACTATTGATTTTTCCCATTTTGAGCTTCATAAGGACGCCTCCTTAAGAGAGGTGATGATTACTAGGGATACCTAGAGAAGCATCCTAATCTTTGTGATGGGAATCAAGACGACAACATATCTATTACGTCATGTGATCCATTACACACCCAAGGAGGTCTAGTCACGCGAGCTAGAGCTAAGAAGATGCGTGAAGCTTTAAATGGCCTTATTGAGCAGATCTGGGTTGAAAACAATATACAATGAGCAAATCGAAGCTTGGATGATTATCAAGGCATGGTAAATATCATTCAGGTTTAAGAGAAGCTTAGTTGAGGTCATTTGCATGGAATTACACAGTTTGCGTCAAAATCGCACAATTCTGCCGCAATTTGTAGCAAACTTATATTTCGTGTTATTTTAGGTTATTTTTAGTGATTTTCACAATTTTTTGTATTATTTTTGGGCTGAACATTCACTTATTTGAAGCCCAATTCGTGGTTATTAGGTTTAAGACTTAGGGTGTTAGTTTCCTATTCTGATTAGGATTTGTTTTCTATATTTAAAAGGCTTGCAACCCTAATAGGGAGGAGATTATTGAATCTTAGATTTTGAGAGACTTTTCTCTTTGGTTCGTTTCAGAACTTTACAAAACTTATCAAGATTATTCTTGTGGCATTCTAACCTGACTTATCATTCTTGTTCTTAAT